CCCCAAAACCCCAAAACCCCAAAACCCCAAATATTGACCAAAAGCTGAATTCCAGTTTCCAATAACAACATTAAAAATATGATAATATCTTATACATAAGTTAGAACAAAAATGAGCCAAATAAACACAAAAAGAGGGAATTTGAAACAGAGTTTGGGATAAGAAGGTATAAGAGAAGGATTAGGCTAAATTAGAACTTTTATATGACTCAATCCGTTCTCTTTGAGAATTTTTAAGGCTTTCTCTTGGCCAATGCTGCAATATCTCATGTTTATTTCCTTCAAAGTGAGCTTGAGGTCTTGAGATGTAGCAAGGCTTTTTATTAGATTCTTAAATCCATCCAGATTGTTTTTCCAATCACTCGCATTGGTTTGGCCTGACCAAAGTAGTGTTATTTTCTTAATCTTGGCATTTTTAAGTGATTTTGAGAAATCATGAACAACAAGAACACATAAATTGCAATTTTGAAGGGATAACAATCTGACATGTTTAAAAGAGGTGATCAGTCTTTTTAATTGCTGGTCATTAAATCAGAAGCCAGCAAATCCCACAGACTGAATGATACTTGAACTATTTCTCATAATTCAATCAAAATAATAGGAAGGATCTAGTTTTACTGTATATTTTGAACTTATCCAAAAACTATTTACCTTATGTGGAAATGAAGAATTTAAAAAACTGTATATATGTTTATTTTTATCCAAAATGTCACATCAAACAATATTGTTTATATCAAAAAATGCAAGATGTCTTAGTTTCTTTGCAAATTTCATATAACGCAAATCGTCGAAATAAAGAAAAAATGCGATATCTGTAAAATAAAATTCAACATCGGAGTTCAACAGACTAGCATGAATTTCTTCTGAGTGCATATTAAAATGAAGACTTTTTGATCTCTTATAATCTTCCCTCTTGCTCTTTTCCAACACTGATTTCTCTAGACTACAAAATGAAAATATTTTTAATGGTAATAATTTGAACAATCAAGTTTGTAAATTTACTAAACTTGTCAGAAATTGTCAAATATCATTTAAAACTAAAAATTTAGTATCAAAAGATAAAGATTAACCAAAACAAGCGGACTACATTATTTAACCAACTTATCAAAGTCTTAACCCATCAAACCCCCAAAATCCATCTACCACCCATCCTTAAAACTCTTCCCAAATCCCCTAAACCCCTCTAACCCATCCTCCTTCTCTGTCCATCACTCTACTTCTCTGCCTTCTTACCTTCTTACATGGGCAAGCTTGGCTTGCATACTATCTGGTGTCTCCTCCATTTTGGCTGTAAAGTTTTATATTATTTAATGTGAGGAGGGGTTTTGGGGTTTTGGGGTTTTGGGGTTTTGGGG